GAAAGAGCAAAATGAGAAAAAAGTTTAAAATACTTGAAACACAAAAGGAGGAATATTTTAGGCAACTGCTTTCTTTCTGTTTACACACAAGTCTAATACTTTAACTATGACATTACCAGTGTATGTATACATCATAAAGGAAAACATATCCAGCAGATGAACGATGCTTACTTCAGCATTGCGAGGAAAGCGGCAGGCTCAACATCTGGTATACGGATTTCATCTTTGTCCTCAGCAAGCTCTCCGTAAAACATCGCATGGAATACAGAGCTCCCAACAGCCAGGACATACTGTTGAGAAAGGGAAATCTTATTTCATGCTTTAAACTGAAAGCACTGCCAACAAAAACAATGTGGGAGAGCCACTCTGAGCATACTGGGATTCACTGACAGACTCTATAGACACACTTCAGTAAGAAATGAAGTCAAAGTTAAGAACAGAATTACACATTTTCCTTGCATTTTACTCTCATGGGCATATATATACACTAGCTACTGGAAAACGCTCATATCCACTACAGAAGTTAATTATCTCTACAAAATCTCAAGAGTAATATTAATCAGCAGCACAAAGCAGTACTCCTAACTTTACAATGACTACCTTAGCACAAGTGTACTGTTTAACTGAAAACACAAGGAAAAGCAAGGGACAGACTATTCCACTGTACGTAGCCTTTTAAAATACAGAACGACGCCTGTCCCAGAAGAGCCACGTCTCCCACGCTATGTCCTGGCGTAACCGTGGGAGCTCTCTCCAGAGATCCCCGCCCGAGCTGATAATGCAGCTGTTGCTTACTTTGTGTCCTGGCAGCCGCTGGGTCCCACCTGGTGGCCCGACCACAAAATGAACATCTGCCATCAAGTCATTGTTGAACATCACTGCATTTCTACAAACAGAGGCAGCATGTTAATTTATGGTGCCCAGTAACACTGTGCTTGCCCCAGACCCAAGAAATTTGATTTCTTAACAACTTTAAATTGCATGTTAGTAAAGAGAAGCAGGTCACACTTTGTTTTAAGCCACTTTACACATCATAACACAAATATACCAGAGAAAAAAGGGGGGGAGGGGGGGGATATGTGTGTCTGTGTGCATGCAATAAAAAACCACAAACTTGTGAGAACTTTTCAAAAAGTGGAAATCAAAGTCAAGAGCATGTACCACTGAACATCTCCACTAAGGTCTAAAAGCAAATCTTTATGGGTACGCTGTAGCTTCCAGCAACATTGTTATTTACTCAAGACAAACAGCTGCACTGTCTGGAAAAGAGATACTAAAATATTTTCCATTACCAAAATACTTGTTTCACACACACAGAGGAAAAAAGAGAGAACTGTGTTTTCTTCAGCAAATAAATGAATAACTAAACATATGCATTACAAACATTTTGCTACTTTTCACTACTCCATTTAAACAGCAAAAATAAACCGACCTGAACTTACCTCTCTCTGATGGTTGGATAAAGCCCTTGCCAATTAGGTGCCGGAATAGTGTTGTTATTATTGAGATTTTGCTGGTGGTACTGCTGGACAGCAGTTGTATTAGTGTTGGCTGGTTTCTTTCGGGGAAAAATATCAGCAGCCATCTTCTTCTTCTTTTTGGTCTTCAAGGTAATGATTTCATAGCAAACTGGAGGCAATTTGCTGCTGCTACTGCTGCTGCTATTCCCCTTCTTAGAGCTCTTCTTGGACCTGTTCTTGACCGTCTCTGGAAGCATCAAGAAGAAGGTGAGACATTTCATGTTCTTTTCTTTCTCATCTACCATGAGTATACTTGTCTGTAAAGCTAGATAGCCTAACTAGCCAGGAACATTAAGAAATGCACGTGGAAGCTGTTAAACAGAAAGCAGCAGAGCCGAGAGTTTGCTTCTTTTCCAGCAAGACAAGGTGACCTTTCCAGTGCACCGAGTAAGAAACTGGCTTTAAGTTTGATCCAGTACTTGAATCGTTAAATACATCCCCATCATTCCTGCCAGTTTTATTTCTTTCCAGATTTCCTAATCAGGAATCGTCTGAAAGCACTACACCCCGCGAGGAGGGTACGCGTGTGGCTGTAGCACCGGCTTTCTGCAGGGGGCTAGCAAGACGCGCAATAGCACTGTTAAGTCTGCTCGGCGAGCTGAACTTGTGCGTTGAACGGATCGGTACAGAGTAGGTATTGCAGCCCTGCAGATGGAGTCAGCCAGCGTTCGGAGCCAATAGCTGAAGTCACCGATAATGATTGGACCCAGCCGCACAGTGACACCTATTGTAACGTACGCCGCTCTGACATTAAAGCAACAGCAGTTGCACACTTCATTTAATACATAGCGCTAATAGAAGTAATAAATAGCATGCACAGTTGCATAAGTGCATGACTGGCCAGAAGCATGTGTGTTTTAGCTCTCATTGATGCTGCTTGAATTTTCACAGGGGAAGCAATAAAAAGTTGAGATCAGGTAGAAAGACATATTTGAGTCTAAATATTTCCGTGGGAGCTATTTCCACGTGCAGTCGATATTAGCATGACTTTGTATGCCTCCGGTATTCTCACAAATGCCTACCATAACAGTTGTTCGGCAAAAGCACGCTACAGATATGAGAACCAAATTAAAACAATCAACTAGCAGCAGCAGAGACAGCGATGCAGTTAAACAATCCCTTTCAGCGCAGCTTTTACTCCAGCGTAACATGAATAGAGATGAGGTCACAGCTTTAGCTTTAACTCCTTATGTTTCTAGATAACATAATAGCCTTTGACAAGGGTCCCAAATCACTAAGCAGTGCTAATTAAGCTAGCTTACACCAGACATGGCTGCACCACATCAGAAGAAAACTTCTAGATGTGCAATCAGATTAAAGCAAACCAGAGTGAATACACTTAATCAATATTTCAAAACGTTAAATGAAGAAGTCCAAATGATTTAGAGAGTCTCAGGCAGAAATCACTCCTTGAGATGCAAACACACTCCAATTTTATTCACAAGTACTTTCTGAAATAAACAGGATATAAGCTATGCCAACCAAACAATTTAAATAGGAAAGGAGACTAATTTTCAATCATTAGTTTACTTAGAACTTAAATTTAGATCAGATTTCCTTAATAGTAGGTCAAGTGTATTAAAAAAAAAAACCCACACAAGCAAGCATAGCCACTTAAAAAAAAAAGCAGGTAAATAAAAAATATTAGGTATTAGGTGTCAACATTTCACACTTTAAAATATTGGGGGGATAATTAAAATATGATTTCATAATTATTTTCAAGTTTTGAAGAAAAAAAATCCTCTTTGCTTTCAAAGCAAATTTAGCCACTTTTAGCCTTAATTAGTTTTGCTGGAGAAAAGTACAACAGTGAAACTAAAGTGATCAAAGGTTGGTGGAGAAATGTCTGACCTTGCTGAAATCCCTGACAGAAATCTGCCACTGACTTAAACTGAAGCACAGAAACGTTACTCGGGCTCTGTATTGAAACACCATCACAATTGCTTGAATCGCAGCTATGGCTTTGTAACACGCAATCTCTGACTGTCTTTAAACCCGAAACTGTAAAACCTAAGTGCAGGTATTTCAAAGATTATCAGGTCTCCTTGGGAGACACTCCATACTAAGCACTAACTAAACACCCTGGCAGTGGGCCATCTAGAGACTTTGCTGCAGTGGCTTGAGATGATACCGTTTCCAGACACACATCTGTCCCCTCTGTCGCAGTCACTGCTCATGGAAGGGGGAAACAGCAGTACACGCGTCCACGCCTCAGCTGCTACATTTTACAATCCAAAGCCTCAGTGCAAAATCACCTTCACCAGTAATTTAAAAGATGGCAGAACACACCTGTTGTGGCTGAAAATCAGATATGTTCCTAAATACATCAAGAGGCATGTTATGCAATTTCCAAAGAAATATTTTCTAGCAAGCTATTCTTTCTTTTCTTCCCCCCTTTTTCTTTGTTTTCCTTTTTTATCTGCAACAGATTGATTTGGAAGGGAAACTAACCACCTAAGCCATACTGAACTGTAGAGAGGTAAAAGAAGGAGTAAAGGAGAAGAAACTCATCCCACAGATGGGATGTTTATAACTGCTCACAGCTGAGAGTTCATAACAGGGACACAGCAGGCACTCCCAGCCCAAAATCTGAGTTTGTTGAGTTAGCATAAGGTTTTTTTTTCCCTCCCTATGTAAATTTGCAGCCCTTCTAGTTACAAAAATAACCCTTTTGCCACTGCATAGGACAGACATTTCAAAAGGAAGAAGTTTTAAAAAAGCCCTTACGGATACAGAAAAACCATACACTCTTCAGAAAATCTGGTTCTCATAGCAGATTCCTATGAGAGATTTGATTTTCATTCTATAAATCCATTTTATAGACTAACAAAGTATATAAAAATTGAGGTCCTTGCACATTTTTTCAAACCATTTGACCAGTACCAATCCAAAGACTATACACACACCAGTTAAGGTCACTGGGAGGCTACAGAAGACAAAGAGAATGACAGACGGACTGATCGGTCAAGTCAGTTTGGGAAGAACAGATTGTAAACGTGAACCCGTAGGAGTCCACCATACCTTTGACTTCTGTAAAACACACGGCATGTATATCATGTTGTGCTTTCTTGGGAAAGGAAGGGAGGGAGAAGCTGATGCATGTTCTGCCCGAATCCAGAAGTCAGACAGACCTCCAGTAGACAAGAAGTATCTGCATGACAGTAAAAATCCACCCCAGTAAATAAAAAAGCCTAACTGCCATCTTTGCCTGTTCTGAAGCCACTCACCAAAATCTGGCCTGCTGGAACTGGAAAATAGTGCCGATTCCACAACAGACTCCAAAAGTTCCTATGAAAAACTACAAACCTGTTACAGGCTTTATACCACCTTTCACTGCAGTTCATCAGCTCAGAAACTAAGTCTCCTAAACCAATCATTAGATGTAGGTGAAATGGGGAAAAAATTCCCAAAGACTTGGTGCTAGTTGCACTCCCTATTCTTTGTTTTGGCAGCAACTTCCATTTATTTTCCTACACATCGTTTTCTTCTTTTACTATACACATACTGTTAATGTTTACAAATCAATACGTTAGCAGTCAGTAAAAGCAACCTATGAACTACTCCCTGTTGAAAGACTAGTCAAAACCCCAAGTTCAACTCAGGCTGTCTCTGGCAGGAGGATCAAGGAAATTGACCTTCTTTCACCCAAAGATCTATCAAGTTCTGAAGGCTTATTGTGATGTGTTCCTCATCTTCTTCAGCAATTCTCATCTTTCTTCATTAATTATATATTAACAGAACCAAACTTGACATATACAACTTAGAAAAAGGGAAATATAGTTCTTAAAAGACATATAAATCTTTATTTTATAAGCAAAGCAGTCAAACCAGAAATATTTTAACTTAAAAGGGTGTGGAAAATTCCACACTTAAATCTTAACACTGGCCTAATGAAAATCCAAAATGCCAGAGGTGAAGAATTAAGCAAAGGACTATATTCCGAGGCTGACACACTATGCATCAAGTTACATGCCCCTTTCAAAATATCAGAAGCAAGTTACAAGCCCTTGGAAATCAGCTCCTGACTAAATATTGTGAGCAACTGAAGCATCAGTTTTGCTGTTCAAATGCAAATGTGTGCAATATACCTGCAATCACAGTTTCATTTATCCCTTAAGACCATAACATACCTTGACACCATTGTGAGGGTTGGCACAGGAGTCATATTGTAGTCTGACTCTTAGTACAACTTTCGATAGTGTGGTACTACTATAATTACGCCTTTCTAAAGATAAGTTCCAATTGAGAAATCATTTAATTTCCAGGGTTGATGGGAGTACTCCTCCTCATATTACATCAGTCTCTCCTGCCACAATAGCAAGTATACCCAGGTTTTTTCTACTTTTTTTTCCTTCTTCTAATAAGTTGTGGTTTTCTATATCTCTCATTTACAGGTCCATTCTTCCATGTCGTAACATGAACTGGACAATTCTATAAAAAACAAGCTTTCATCAAAATTCCCAATTGTCTGTTACAACCAGATCATGAATAAAGGAATGAATTCCAAGCAGGCAATGAGAAAATGCATATATTTCTTTTTTTGTAAAGTTGCCAAGTCTCTCCCTTGGCAGTTATTATGCCTATGCATTATTAACATTCTCCGTTTAAATCCTGGATTTCCCCTTATAAGGAAACAAATTTCAGCCGATACATCTTGATTAACCAAATAACACACAATGTTACTGTTTAACAAATCTACCTATCCACTGCTAATTTTCATTGAATTTAAGCTGACTTTAAGCACTCATTTAGAAATGGAATGTACAAGTTCAAAAAACAAACCCAAAAAACTCAACAAACCACACACCTGAGGAGCTTAGTTCTGTTTACCTATCTATAAATTCTTTAGTCACCTGGAAGAATCCTTCCCAAGCACCATTCCAACCCTTCTGTTTCTAAAAATGCTCATTTGGAAAGGGGACTGATAGCTCTACTCTTGATTTCCTCAAGTAAAAATTGCATTACAGTTGACAAGATCTTCCAACCTCCTCTCTCACAAGTTTCTGACTGGCAGCGCAAAGTAACCAAGAATTGCATCCACTTCTGTCTGGTGCATGGAAAAGCTGGCCCTGAAGTCTTACTCAGTAAGGTCTTCTATGGAAGAAAAAAAGACAAGTAAAAGCAGGGAGAACGATGGGCAAAATTGTAAACACTCTCAGAGAAGCCAGAATATAGGGTAAAAAGCCCCAAGAGAATATTTCTTTCCCAGAATAACCAAGAGCTG